CTATTCTCAGCAATATTAATGTTTACCATTTTTTTAGTATTTGTGGTTGATAGACATAAAGTAATTGGTAAAAACTTTTGTAAAATATCAAGACTCCTATAGACATAAGCAGTTTGACAATAAATTAACTTGGTAAAAATCATGCAATCACAAGCTAAGTTTGGCTTTAAATTATAAACTCTGTTTCTTAATTCACTTATCTATGAGGAGAAAGTCAGGCCAAACGTCATGAGACTAACTCTGATATGTTCTAGTGAGGAATGTGACTTCGAATAAATTGTAACAGGAAACTAGAAGTAGGTTGTTGTTATCTCCACAAAAATTGTATAGTAAAATGGTTTAGAGAAACGTTAATGTGCTTTTTGTTATTTTCTCCTAGTCGAAGGTAAGAGCACAATTTTTAATTTCTACGTGATAAAATAAGTTTAATATTTTTTAAGAAAATAATTTTCTTAGATGAATGTGTTTGTTTATGAACATTTAGTGTGTATTTCTAGTGAGATTGTATTAAACAGTCAAAATAAGTTAATAAATTTGCATTTAGAGAGAAAAAAAGAGTTCAATAAGTTATTATAAGTACTGGCAGCATTGTTCAATAGACCACTTAATCAATGGGAACATAGGTCAAGAGGTCATTATAAGTACTGGAGGCAAAGGCCTCGTAAATAACTACATATTTATAGTTTCATGAAAGTGTTTGTGTCTTAAAATGAAAAATTATGAATCAGTAACAATATTAAAAATATAAATTATCAATGATTTTTTAATTTTTTTAATTTTAGCTTGAAATATATACAGAAATATATATATATATAGACACATATATATAAACATTGATTCGTAACCATCTAATGAAAATAAAATGTGCTCCAACAAAAACATTTTTCTTTATTATCGACCTTTCCCGTCAGATATCTTTTTTTCCCCCGAAAAGGCGTTTTAGTAAGCAACCTTAATTGAAACTGTTAAGTCCATCAAGGTACTCTAAATTCCAGAATAGTTTGGTGGTGAAGAGAAAAGGTAATTATCCGTTAGCTTGTGTACACAAAATCGTCTTTCCAACTGTTTAGCTTATCACTCACGAAATTGTAGTTTCTCTGGTTAAAACTTTAAGTAGAAATACCAGTCATTTAAACTTCGTTTTAGTTTTCTAAAATTAAATCTAGAGCCAACACTACAATGAAACAATAAAACACAGTTATATATGTTTTTATGTTTTCCATGGAACGCTTTTAGTTTCCAGAGTATGTGTTAGCTTCTTCTGCCTCGACAAATACTTCAGCTAATCGGTACCATTACCTATTGTCAATTCTCCTTCCGCATATTGTCACTTATGAAAATATCCTAACGGAATTGTTTCAGATTGGAGCATTTTACAGTCATTGATGGTTATGACTATGAATGAATATACACAAAAGAAGCTATTAACTTTAATGTCAACTTGATCACTAGACATGGACGGAGTAAAAAAAAAGAACCTTTTTTATCACATTCTATTATGTATCACAAAAATGAACATTGTAAATACTTTGATGCATGCATGTACACCAGTTTCAAATGTTTTTATCCGCTTTATTATTAAACTCTTAATTGTGTATATCCTTAAATTAATCTATAATGCATTTTATATATTTCATAAAATTCTCCCTTAATTGTGTTTAGTTTTTAGAATTTTTGTGCAATGCTACACATGGGCTATTTGGGCATAGCCGTCTCTAGTTTTGAACTGCCAGCTAAACATGAGTACTCAACACCAACTCTTGGACAAGTCTTGTCTGACTGAATAGTAAGATTTGACCATTTCTTTTATAGCGTACCAACGGATCCAAAGTGCGTTTGTGCGGCAATGGGAGGCAAACAAAGAACCCTTGGATTCACATTCCGAGCACGCTAACCCGGTGAAACGCCTGACTCAACTACTTACAATATCAATATATATATATATATGGCGGCGTGTTTTTGGTCTATTTCTTGAGTTTGTCTTATACTCTATTCTCATCTTCGGAGCCTTCGAGAAATCTATGTTTAAAGCTAGTCTTGCCGGCTTGTTCGACTTAAACCATATCCCACGTATTTATCTTTGTTTCGAACGAATCGAAATCTAGTTATTTTATTCAATGTTTGACAATTTATTTGTCGTATTTTTGTTTTTGGTGTATGAATATTTTCTAATGGGTCGGAATATTGTGAGTGAGCGCTTACTTATAATTTATACAGTTTAGTATTTTTTACTTTTTGGATAAGTTTTTGTTGTTGGATGTACACAAAGTCATTTATATTATCATCCCCCACCCGATGGCTTAGCAGTAAGTCTGAGAGTTTATAACTTTAAAAATTGGGTTTCGATACCCGAAGTGGACAAAGCACACATAATGCATTGTGTGGCTTTGTGCTTGGCAAAACATAAACAAGATTAATATTATTGGCAGTGCTTTTGAAATAATTTTCATTATCATATTACTGCACACATATTTTTTTGTCTTTTAATATTATCCACTTTTACACATAAATTTTTCGTTGTGAGCATAATATTTTGATTCATGAATTATCTAAATCTTCCAAGTTGGCCGAACCTCTTGAGGTTTTATCGATATAAGCCGAAAATTTCGTTAATAGTAGAATTACGTAACTGATGATTCAGAGTATTCTAATCATTATATGTTGTAGTTTTCTTTGAGCTATAATACTGTGTATATCTTATCAAATTGTTGTATAGAATTGGCATTTTTAACTTATAAGCTCCACTGTACAGTTCTGAGTCACACAGCTAGCTAGCATTTAATCAGATGGTAGTGATTATCAGCGGAAATTTTGTGAATATGTTCACATGTTATTTTAATTCTACAGGCCTTTGGACTTACAACGCTAAAAAATCGGGTTTCGATACTTGTAGTTGGTACAGCACAGAAAGCCGATTGTGTAGCTTTGTGTTTAACCTCAAACAAACAGGACAGAACTTTATATATATTATGCTTAAGACCATTGCTACAGGTTCAAAAAGAGATACATTAACACCATGGAAAAATAACAACAGGAATTTAGATCTACTTTGTTACAAGAGTAAAAACGCGGTATGTTATCTATGTCGAGCTTCTTTGGTTTCCGAAACAGTGTTACACCATGGCATTCACGTTGAAAAGAATAGTTTTCTATTTCATAGTTTATTTTATTTCTATGTGTTAGCAGGTTAAGCAATTGTACATGAGGTTTCTGATTATATCAAAACTAATTCGCCTTTTATAACTCATCCCCAGTTAGCGGACGAGAAAATTTATTATGGAATTTACACAAATCCATAGGGACTACATAGGGATTTGTGGCATGTAGTAAGTGTACTCGCCTCCTTGGACGTCGAATCATTATTTACCAATGTACCAGTCCAGGATACGATAGACATAATCTGCGACAACGTTTACAGACACACGACCATGTCTCCACCCAAAATACCTGAAGAAATAATGCGTGAACTTCTACTCGCCTGAACTACGAAGTCACTTTTCAACATATCAATGGTTCGCTATACCAGCAAGTCGACGGAGTTGCCATGGGCTCTCCTCTT